ACGTTAAATTTGGAGATCCCACTCCTTAAATAACCTTACAGTGTCGAAAAGGGCCTTAAAACTCTACAACACTAATAGCAGTACAGCAGCACTAATAATAATAATAATAATAACAATAATAATAATAATAATAATAATAATAATAATAATAATAATAATAATAATAATAATAATAATAATAATAATATCAACAACAATGATAATAATAGAGTCAATTCAATGTGTGGCAGCCATCTGGAAAAATAATCTTGGCGTATAATAAAGACATTGGCGACTGCTGCGGATTCGGACGATTGGATCGAGAACAGAAAAGGAAAATTAGGTCAGAAATGGAACTCACTAGAGATACATGATTATGCAGACAGATAAAAAAGGCAATGTGCGTCCTGGACCATGCAGAGTCCGAAAAAAAAAAAAAAAAAAAAATCACCCCCCAAAAAACAACAACAACAAAAAATAACAAAACAAACAAACAAATCCGCATTCCATAAACACACTAACATGACCCCAACCACCCCCCCCCTCCCAAATAAATCCCTTATCCATAAACACAAAAACTCTCAAACACAGACACCGTCAAAACAGTTTTAAACGGCCCCCCATTGTCGCGGAGAAAAGTGGCCGCATTACATAGTGCCTTTACCATGTAAAAAAAAAAAAGTACACAAAGGAAGAAATTATTGAGAAATTGTCGTTTGCGTAGATTATGATTGTCTTGTACAGGTGACCAATAGAGCAGATTAGACTGCACTAACTACACGTATTAACGAAACCATTACCATCTCCTCAAAATTCTATTATAATTGCCTGCACCTTCTATCTTTCGACGGTAAATGGCGGGGAGTCGATACGGAAACAAAAATTCACTACGAAGCAATAGCAGCAAGCGGAGAGTAGACTCCAAACAAACGTTTCATTTTGCTCTAGATAACAAAGCTCTAGCCCTTTTTTCTTAAGCCCAAATCAATTAGAATAACTCCACAATTTTCTGGTGGTTAAAACGATAGCAAAGACTGGGTTAAGGAAATCTGTTAAAGTAATGCATATTATCAATAATTTGTAACAAAGAGATTTGATTAGCGGTCTTGGCATTCGTTCAATATTTGAGCGCGTGCCATAAACATTTCACCGTGTGCGAAATCTCCCCCTCCCAAGGTGCCAGGATAATTTGCTTTTCTTCTGCCTCGACGCTTTCCCACATACCATTATCATTGTGTAAATGATTGGCTACGAGCTCGTTAAATAACTATATTTGTGGCACAACGCGGCGGAATCAGGCGCTCGTGAATTTTTTGAAGAGACATGTAATAAATATGAAGTTATTGGTACAATCTTTAGTCTTGTTTATTTGTCTTGCTTTTAGTGAAAATATATTACCCATCTTTCTCGAAAGCAAGTTCAGATATTTACGATTTAAAAAGGTGGGGGTTGCCTCGTGTCAGAGGTAAAATCATTGAGACAATGGCTGCCAAAATTTGGAGACTTCATGAGCTGCAGTGACCTTGAAAAATGCAAATATATATTTTTTTTGGTGCCTTTGATCAGCATTTATTAGTAAAAGCCACACAGAAATGAGTTTTTAAAAGGACACAAACGGTATTGAGCCCCCTTTTTAAATGACAGAAAATGCAACACGCTGAAAAAAAATGTCTGTTTCTTCGATTTCACCATTTTAACGAGCGCCTGATTTCAACACGGTGCCACACATTCGTTGCGGACCTTCCGGAAATGACGGAAGTGCACCGTGCGTTTCGCTCAGAGGATAAAGTACAGAAGTATGCTTTCAGCAAAGTGAGTTCAGTTCTTATTCTAAATTGTTAGTGTGATTTTCACTTTTGCGACGGCTCACGAGTTTTTTTTACAGAGTTACTCCGGCTATTCTGGCAAAATGTTTGATTATGTTGATTCAACAATTTTCGAACCCCGTTCCCCCCCCCCCCCCCCCATTTTTCTTCGTCTAAAAACTCCTTTCCACCTCAGGCTCACGAAACAAAGTGCAGTGGACGCCACGCTTGTCTGTCCCCGGCCACCTCCTCTAGCTTTCACACATTCAAGTCGTGGTTACATGCCTCATCTTGGATCGTATTCCTCTTACTACGAGTGGCTCTGCCGCTACTTCTTCTTTCCATCAGTCTTCAGTTAAAATCAATGCAGTAAAGTTATTTGAAACGGAGGAACTCCAAAATTAACCTTCATCCCAGAAACGACTGCGTCAGGTAGGTAGCGTTGAAACCTCCAGAATAAACCACCGAAACTGTAAACGCACAGTCAGTGTCAGTGCTGTGGCGGCTAGACACTTTGCCATGCAAACAGAAGACTTGAGTTCGATTCTTGTGTGTGGGGAATTTGTACCAAGTATCTTGGTCCCTTTGCAAAAACGATTCGTTCTCTCAGCCCAAGTTAGCACTACCAGACAAGGTCGAAGCCTGCCTCATGAATGATCTAAATTATGTCAATGGGAGCGTAAAAACATCAACAAGTAACATTTAGATTCACACATTTCGATTCGACACACGTATTACGTACCCACGGTTCCAAAGACGCATAAGATACTGATGTTTACACAGACGACTATGATCTCAATGGAAAGGCCTGCGGGCATCTCTGTCGCCTCTGTCTCGCTCTCGTTCCCACCGGAAGAGGAAGCGTTTGGTGGCGATTGCGTCATGTTATACATCATGGCCGACATGGTGATCTGAAACGAGACAGTTATGGAAATCTTTACGTAAGCACTTTAGTGTAGGTTCCGATATCACAGTGAAGAAGGATTTGATTGATAAAGATACTCAGTTGAAAAAGTTACACAATTTGGGGTCTTTCCAAAACAACCCCCCCCCCCCTTTTCAAAATAATACATGCAGATACACCCATAACATACACAACCAGGCAGGCTGTTTCTATCCATGTATTTTTTATCCCTGTCTATCTGTCTGTCCGTCTGTCTGTCTGTCCGTCTGTCCGTCTGTCTGTCTGTCTGTCTGTCTGTCTGTCTCTCTGTCTGTCTGTCTGTCTGTCTGGTATGGTCTGGTCTGGTCGGATCTGTCTGTCTGTCTGTCTGTCTGTCTGTCTGTCTGTCTGTCTGTCTGTCTGTCTGTCTGTCTGTCTGTCTGTCTACCAC